TCTTAATGTACTAATGAACATATACTATATAAATGACCAAGTTCAGATCGCAATGACAGATAACAGTTTGTTCACCGACAAAACCTGAAACAATAAATGCCAAGCAACAATCAGCTAATTAATTCAACACTTAAATTGCAAAAGATTGAAAACAAACACGCATTGATTATATAATAAGACCCAGGAAATGATAAAATTATTATTCACTGAATTCAATTCGCTTGATAGAAATTGTAACGGAAGTGCAGTTCAATAAGAATTTCTTTGATTGTCATATGAAGAAAAACTAAAAATATACTCATGACATAACTGATTCAGTGAATAAAATGAATTTATATTCTGTGAATATTATTCAAAAATGTGTTTCATTTTTTCTATTTCCTGGATGGTTATCACTCAGTTGCGTTTAAGTGACTTTTGAAAAATCACCATATGCATGTTTTGAATAGATTTTTTCACTCTTATGAAAAATATCATTGCCTAATTCTGATTATTTTAGTGTCTTTCGTTTTCTTGATTTCTTACTGCATTTCTGTTAACTTTCTAGTGCATTCAATAAAAGAAACTGATTTATCTGCCATAAAATATGGACAAGATTGATTTCTTTGTGAACTGAACGATGATGAGATTGTCCGAAATCATACATAATGAAAGCTGTAAAATTCAACAATTCAACTCAAACAAACATATACATAATTCTGTATAGTTTTAAGTGCATCCATCATAAGACGATTGTATTGTTAGTTTGTATACAGTATCGCTATAGTTTTATACAACACAAAGTTTCGTGTAATATTGTATACACAAGTTCACATAATCGAAATGTAGTAATCAGCCTTTATGCTTCTAATTTTAGAAGGTTGCTGAATTTTAAATTGATCCAGTACAAATTGTACTGATTTGGAAGTAAGAAAATGTAAAATAACATACACATACATACACACACAATGCATACATACATAATTAATGATTCTTTTTTAAATGATCTTCAGCGTATATATCAGACATATTATGCATTCTCTTTCTAGAATATCTGTCCCTAAAGCAATTTTCATTGTTTAGTTTTCGCGGTTAACTGGACTGTATAAATTCTAATGTTATGATAATATTAATTCTTGAATTGTATTTACCAACTATTTTGCACGCTTTAGTAAAACGAAATTAGTTATTTATGAAATATTTTTAAAATATAGATTGAAACGAGAATAAAGTAATCCCTAATGTTCGTTGAAACATATTCAATGATTTGCTACAATAATTATAACTTTTACATAAAAATAAAAAGGATTTTTTTTTAGAGATTTCGAAAAATGCTAACAATCTATACCAAAGAGAACTATCTGCTTAATCGCTTGAATACAATTTTTTTTCAAAATGGCTTCATTCATTCTTATTACTGTAACAAACTGTTACTTTCTCTTGCTTATTTTACTAATAAGCGATAGGTAAGCATATTTTTTGTATTATTCTAAATAATGTGAACACTTTGACTGACAACTCATACTAAATATTATATATATATATGTCCTCGTGTGATGAAGGCTAGTTACTTTCGTGGTTCGCAACTTTCAAAGGACACAATTTTTCGGATATATATTATTTTTTATCAAAAGAAGAAATTATATTTTTAAAATTAACAGATCAGCAAACTATAGATGAATTATTGAACAAATATTATCGAAAATATATTTTCTCTTTTCTTATGTTAAAACATAAGAATAAATAAACAAACTAGGTAATGTATTTCTCAGGTAATCGGAACTCAAGTATAAAATATGAAATATGGACAAACTTTTGAGACGCTGAAAAATGGAAACCGCAATTCACATAAAATGAATGTGGATGAATAACAAATAAAGTTGTCAGTAGGTATTATAAAAATACTCTTAGTAATCTAGATAATTATTTTTAAATATTCTAATACTCTTTACTTTATGAAAAGTTCAGTGTAGTAGTAGTAGTAGTAGTAGTAGTAGTTGACAATTCAAGAACCAGAAAATTCAATTTAAGTCAAATCTTCATATTTCTGTAAAATCGAAATTGAAAAATATTTATTTCCTAATCGAAAGATGAATACAAAAAAAATTGTTATCAAATGAATATATTAAAGCTACAATCACTTAAAACTGATCCACTGAATGTTCTTCTGTTAAACATAATTTGAAAAAAATCACAATTTTGAAAGCAAGAAATTTTAATGGATACATTTTAGCTGGTTAGAAATCAAACCTGATAAATCTCTGGTAGTTTCGACTTTTAAAACATTTAAACACAGAATAAAATAAATTGATTATAGATGGGATGATTAACGATAAAATCAGTGTACATTTAATGAAATATTTTCAAAATCTAACGACATATCTCCTTACTGTTTAATATGCTTCCTTTAGATTACAAAATCTAATCTATATGGTCTTTCTTCCGTTGAGTGATAATGCATCTATTAAGTAAAAAAGAAAATTACCAACTTAAAAGTAAATGGTTTATTTAGTTTTTAAATCATTGTAAATTTTCTTCAGATTATCATTTATCAGCTTGTTTCATGACGTTGCAATGAGAATTGTGTTCAACAATGCATCATTTTACCAAAACATTTCAACTTGCCAGTATTGTTTGAGAAAAAGCATTGTCTGTAATTTGGACAAGAGTCTTCACTTATTACAAAAATAAACTACCTTGAATAATGAATCAGATGTCATTAAAATACATAACAATGTAATACAAAGCATCGAGTCATTAAAACTAAATAACTTAAAGCTAACATTTATGTTTGTGTTCTGAAACCAGTAAGCGTTTTCATTACAATAAATGGTTTTTTCTTTTGGAACTAATTGGCACATTTATGATTGATATAAATAATTTTCATTAACCTGATTAGATTTCACTTTCTATAGGATTTACTTTTTAGTTAATTTGTACTTTTCTGTGTTAGTAGAAACGGATAGACAGTTGATAACTATCAATCTATATTTTGATTACTAATTATACTAATTAGCATACGTGTCAAAGACTGTTCAAAGCAGCAGAAATAGTTAAGTGAATAGTGTCGCAATCATACTTTGAGCAAAAATAATCAAGAATTAAATAGCAATGATATTCTTCGAAATCATTATTCCGATTAATAACAATATCATCTTCATTTGTATTCAATCTTCAATAGTATGCTCATCTGATTTGTTCACTTTGAATAATCTATGAGCTTGTATAATACTCCATCAATGTTGAATAAATATTCTTCTGCCTTTGTAGATTTTTCTCTTACAGTTTATTTAAATTAAATTAGGCTTTTCAAACATAAATTCTCAACTGAACAAATGTGTGAATGCTAATTCCAGACCTATTTGAAGTTAATAAAACCAGTAAAAAATGTCACAGCTCTATTCTATGAACTCGTCATCACATAATGAAAACAAATATTTAATTACTAACGAATTAATTCTGCTTGGATATTTTTCTAATGGCCAAATGTAAATTATATGGTTTAGACAAATAAACTTCATTCCGAAATTATTGTAATGTAATCGAAATTAGGAGAAAGTTACCTGGCAGTTTAATGTCGAATTTGATGTTGATAAACATGTTGTCCGTTATCAATTTATATTTGTAGTTGATGAAACAACTGTGATGTTCTTAGTTATTTGAAAAAAATTTTTTTTTAAAACTCATTTCAAATAACGTACAAATTAGAAATTTTGTATTTTGTTGTCAGTACATTGTATATATGGCTTTTACAAAGTCTGAGAAAAAGCTAACATTTTGCTTGAAATGATTGAGCGAATCATTCAACTCCAGTATAACTCTAATGTTTTCTGTGACATCTTTTTCATACTAATCAGATAAATTTCCACATTCATTTTCAGTGTTTCCAAGTAAAAATAATATACTTCAAAAACTGACCCGGCCTTTATAATGTAATGTGTTATATATATATATATATATATATATAGGTATAGTGTTACTAAACGCCTGTCTTGTTATCCTGATGGTTTAGTTTTTGGTGAGAAAACTAACCTTTAGTGGCGAAACGGATTAATAATACTTCCGGTTTTTCCAGTCAAAATCAATTTCTATAAAATTGCTTCAACTGTTGAAATAAGCAATTATTCATTATATTTTATTACTGTTAATAAAAATAAAGTTTGACTATTCACATTATAAGACTGTATGAAATTGTCAAGTTCCGCTTAGGAGTGTACCAACATACAATAGTTTACTTTGTTATCCTTAGGAAATGTGTGAACAAACAACATTACTCGCTCTGTGTTATCTCATCTTCTTAAATAATAGTGGTATGCAGTAGACAGCTATTCTGCTTTGAATAGCAATCCTAACAGGTATGTGAGTTAGGTGATATTTTAATTGTCTTGTATTTTTTTGATGATAATATATTTTTAACATCTTCTGAATCCATCAGAAAATAAATTTTTTTGAATTAAAAATATAGATAAAAGCTGATCACATTTTTATAAACTCGATAGCTATCTGTCACAATGAATCCAAGTCATCAACAATATACATCATGATTTTATGATTAACTTCAATTGTATGAAACAAATGATTGGAATTCAGATCTAATTTCAAGTATTACAATTAATATGAATAATTAAAATATATGCATTTGAAAATAATCAACTCAATCTCAGGATCATATATATCTATTTTCACAGAAAAATATACATTAAAATTATTATTGCATGAACATTTCTAATTTTGAACAAGGCTTACTTTAGAAGATCTGAAAATTCTAGCACTTTGATATTTTATCTTCATAAACTTTGGAAAGAAGAGAGAATGTAATTCACGAAGCCGATTTTAGCTAAACATTAATGCAACAATAATAAACAAGCATGTATAATGATGACAAATAGCCTTAATAAAGTATGCCTGAATTCTAAAATAGAAAAATTTTGCCATTATCACACAACGAATGACATTTTTATGTAGAATAACTATAAATTTTTCTGAGTAGTTAGAATTTTATTAATCTGAACAGATATATATATATGTACAAAATATATATTTTAGCTAATTTATTTCTGAATAAACAGGACAACTCAAAACGTCATTTACGGTAGAAGGTTCCTCCTCAACATTAGAACAATTTGAGTGTCATAAATAAAATTTTCATGGATGTTAGTGTGTTTACGCATCTGAAAAACGATTTACATTTGATTCATCATGTAATTCAGTGTGAGTAGCTGAATGGCTTATCGGGAAAAAATGAACACGATTTGGACTTTCTTCATTTACAGACGGTTGACTCATACGAATAATAGGCAGTTGAATATTATTGTTGTTATTATTATTATTATTATTTTGATTTTTACGACTTGATAAAATTGTTTTATTTGAACGTGATAATTTTGGCAATCGTATTTTAAAACATGATAAAAAGCATGAATAGAAGAGATGATAAATATCTTGTCGAAAATTTTTATTTATCCATGCATAAATAAATGGATTGTAACATGTTGATGAATCACGAGCGAAATTTGCTGCAGCCCATGCTTTAATAGAGTATGATTTGAACCAAAATTCCCGATTGATCAATCCATGCAAATAGATTGTGTGTCTTGGAAGTTGCGATAAACCATACATCAATGCTACCAATGTTAACATTTTCACCATCTAAAATACATAACCAATATACATTATTTATAAATGTCATTTTAAAAATATTACAATTAATTTAAACCATGTTAAAGCAATAAGTGCGTTATTATTTGTTACGCAATCTATGATACAAGATCATTTGTGAGCTAATGCATAGCTGAAAAACTGCTTGATGTACAATGTTTTTTTAACAGTAACCATAATTTCAAGTAAAAACCTTTTAGAGTTAAAGTTTTTTTCCTTTTGTTAAAATTTCGTTTTTTTTCATTCACATAAATCATCGATATGTAGTTATGTCAGTTGTTTTTTGCTTGGATTGTTCTAGAACCATTAAGGCAATAAATAGTCATCTAGATAAACATCAAATTGCCAGTGTTACCTTCAAATAACATAATCAAAATCAGCAGATTTAATCTCATTTGTATTTTGCTAGTAAATTTCAACTTGTATCTAATATTTATAATCACTGTTAGAGAAGACTAGCTCACTGATTTCTTTCAGCGATGTTGTTTACGAAATTGAGAAGATTAAAAACGAACATCTGTTGGAGGCTCAAACGGTGTCGATAATTATTGAGAATTAACCTAGGGGAATAAGGAAATCTTCGTTTCAAACCTATAGACCACACAGGCTCCAGGTCCCAGATGGCGAAAATAGTGTACAGACCTACCAGTGGTCACCAGTAACCATGAAACTAACTGCATCTACTAACGTTGCTCCACTGTCTTGTGGATTAGACCGGTAGGTCTAAGGTTCAGGGAGTAGCCATTTTCAAAAACAACCTGCTTCGGTTTGTGCTCTTCGATAGTGGCTCAGAGCATTTGCAAACCTAATAATTTGTGTGGCCGGCTGCTTGAAGATCTAGGTTATCCGTTTCTTAACATCAAAATATTTCGAAAAGTTATCTCTTTTTGTTTATTTAAACACATCAGTTATGCCTATTCACCACATTAAGGCAAATACGTAAAGTTTACAACTGTTCATTTCATAAGATTTGAAAAAGTAGATTATAGACCGCTTGGAGCTGAAAACCTGCTGAGAAAAGAGTAAACTTTGATTTCTGAACTAATCCTTTTGTAAACGAAACTTATTGAAATATTTCATGCTGAGAATTCTATATTGTACTAAACGTATAATATTGACTTACATATTGGTGCATTTTTATACTGTATAATATTTAACGATGAGAATGCTGTCGCATATAAACTGACATTGAACCAAAAAATTTAGGAGTGCTGAATGATGTATCAATTTACAGTCACAGACACATGATTATCGACTCAGTATAAATGCATGTTCCAGCTTCGGTTATTTAAAAACAGAAAGCTTTTCTATTTCACTGAATACCTTATGCCTTTTCGATTTCTTTAAACTTGATATCGAGAGTTCCAAAGAGTTATCGATTACATACTATATATATATATATATATATATATATATATATATATATCGCTGAACTATTTTAAACTGTAGGAAATGTGTCGTGTGTTTCTCATTGTAATAGAACAAATTAATATGTTTCAATGAAGTGTATTTTGAAAATCAAACAATTCATATCATATTTTTTCTGGTACTTAGTCATCTGAAGTTAGTAAATTCAAGTGGTAATTGATAAATTTAAAATCCACGCAACACTAAGAAATTCTAGGGATTTAATTTTGTAACTTATTTACAATGATCACTAACACCCTTGTCTTGCTTTAATTATATGAGACATCCAGCTTATTTACAAAGCAAGTTATTATAATACTTTAGAAGTTTATGCACTAGCAAACACCTCCAATTATAGCTGAATTATCGAAACTGCATAATAATGCATAAAATCTGTTTCATGTTTTACACGTTACAGTATATTTAACTGGCTCCGAAAATAGAAACTCATTGCTCATAATCAATTTTATCGTAAAACAAAACGCATTTCCTGTAACATCATATCTTAATGTACACAAGAATTTTATTCATTAAAATTCAGACATTCGATTAACGTGGTTTCGGTGTATATTTTAATTAATATGTGAATTTAAATCAAATACAGCAAAATTCATGATACTATTCAGAGCTATAAATATAGGCGATCATATCGCAGTTTAAATACGTTTCATAATTTCTAAAGAAAATCTATCTCCTTTAGAGTTTTAAGAAACTATTTTACCTTGCTGAATATGATATTAAACGCAATTAATTAGGTAGGCTATGAGTTATTTTATGCTTTTGGGAATATGGAGCGACATCTTAAATTTTGCAAATAACTAATCTGTTGTTTTTATCAGATACAAATTATTCACATCATTCCCCTTATGTATCTTTTGACAGAACAAGATCAAATCACATACAAATTCATGCAAGGTGTGCAAGAGTTTCAGATTACTGTATCTAGTACATGTACCATACTGAGATACAAGTTATAAAAAATGACCTGATCAATTTGTCGCAGCTGTTTAGATAACCGTTAAAATTCATTTGGTTAAATTGATTAAAAACCAAAATTATATTCGATCAGATTGTCGTTACATTTAGACCAGTAACATTACTATATCAAGTAGAAAGAATTCAAATAATATAAACTTTTAACAAACAAGTTTAAGTGATTGATTATACAAAGAGCTTCATCGAATCAGTTTTATTTTTTTAATTCAAATTAAACGTATTTCTCTGTTTCTAAGACAATGAAATACTAAAAGTTGTTTTTTCTTTAAATGAATCATACTGACATGATATCTCATCTCATTTTCCCAAATGTTATTCAAAGCATAACATTTAAATCATGCTTTGAATGAAATTCTATATAGTTTGAATATTTTTATAATCGTTAATAGTACATTCAAATTAATAAAGTTGTAAAGGTATCTTATAGTAATTAACTGGCTTAAAACGTTTTTAAATTATAATCTCAAGCTTAATTAATTCATCTGTTTACTAATTTAAATTCCAGGTGTTTAGAAATAACAGTCTAATTTGTAATCCAATTTCGTATCTTAATAAAAAGTATCTCATGACACTTATCCAGTGTTTATCGTTTGACAATATGTAACTAACTGTCTAATTTTAACTGACATCTAATGATATCAGTTTGATAGTGTTTTTTTTTTGCAGCTTAAGTCATATAAAACAAAGAACAAATAAGAAAGGTGAAATAACGATTAATAAAATTGCTTTTTTTATGGCCAATTTGACGAATGAAGAAATTAAGGCATAACAGTTTTCTTATGAAAATAAAGAACCCTATGTGTATGAGACGAAATCGAACTGCATGAGGAAAACTAATTGGTATAAAATAAATTACTTTCAAAGATTTATTTCGGTCTACAACATGACTGTTGTCGATGAAGTATGGTAGAAGGAAAGTGTTCACCCTTTCTTTAGCAGATAATAAGGTGTTGTCTCAGTTAACTGTTTGTGCGTTCAATTAGAAGATCCAAAATATTTTATCGTTCAACTATTTTAATTGCTAAATCATTAGGCTGTTTCATAGTATTTGGCATAAGATCGAGACCAGAATGTTCAACTATGATAACCAACACGCTTTTCGATTCGCCAACACCTTTCAGTAACTCTCTGTTTGAAATGAACTTGTGGTGTAGTTTCATTTCACTTTATTCCATGAATTGATCAATTGTAGATCACGACTGAGAACCTGAACGGTTGTATCTTCCGATCAGGTTACTCATCAGCAGTGCACTGCCACTATCCCACAAACACTAATCGAATCCGATTCCTTCGCACGTGAAGGCTTAATATCTTGATCATTCAGCTGTCACCTACTGATGCAGTACCTAACCTCAGTCAATCCACCAAGTTTCGTGACCATCGTCCGTCTTTTCCAGTGTATAACTGCCACACTTGATACAGTTGAACTTCACTGCCCACGGCCCCTCATTAAAACACCGAGAATTTCCTCATGAAGTTAAGCACAAGTGAGCTAGCGATTTTTGTTCGTATAAGGTTGTGAAGGCTGTTAATTTTTGTTTAAACCATAAACCAGATTCCCTATAAAGATCCAACATTGATCGGTGCACTGTCATGTTACCATCGGTAGTTACTATCTAACAATTTTTTGATGATGTAATTTTCTTTTAACATGAAAGCGGAAATATAATTAGCTATCAAGACCAAAGTTTAACTTGTTAATTTTAAACAAACTAGGGATAATTTAAAATGTTTAATAGTAAATTAATTATATGTTTGTGATATACCAGTGAGTAGAAATTAGCATTTCCTACCTTTTAACAACATTTCTTTAGAGAAAACAAATAAATAAAAGTTGAACAGTTAGGAAGAATAAAGCACAATATTTAATCCAAATAAAATTAACTTCATAGTAAGTCTGATTTATTCAATGTCAGGTAGCTATTTTGGTTGAGTTAATACTGCGTGAAACATTACTGTATGTATTTGTATGTTTATGGGCTTAAAAAGTATATTATTTAAAATATAAAAAAGTGAGGCATAAATTTGAATGTAAGCTTAATATTATGTGGCTGAAAACAAGATGTTTTCCTTACTTTGAAATGACGAATTTTGAATAGTGTTAGTTGGTTTGTAGTAGTATTGTTTTGAGATAATTTGAGATTCTTCTGTTGTTTAATGCCGGTTAGGTAATGCTAAGATACCATTATAAGATACGTCATTAGAATTACCAGTTAAAAAGGAATACTTCCATTCTAATAAAAAGCCTAAATCTCCCTTATCTTCATGATAGTTCTTTTGAATAGATTAAAAACCAGGGGAACGTTTGTACTGAATGGATATTCAGAGATGGAATCGATTTAACATTTCAAATGTCTTAATTTTCGGTTCATGGTTAGATTGACATTTTCACTAGAATTCCGTTTTATTTAAAACAGTTCAAGAATGAAAGTTCACTAAGTTCATTTTTATTTTTCTATAAGTGAATAAGTTGTGATCTCAAAAAAAATTATTTGAAAGAGTTTAGAGAAATTTCTGAGGATAATTTTATTTCAATGAAAAATAAGTTGTTTACAAATCGCAGTAGACGCAAAATCTGATGAAACTGA